TGCATGCGCAATCATATGTAGCTTTAAAGGACATATATTTGATATTATTTGATTATTTTGATTGTAGTTTCGCTTTGCTTATCCCTCTGTGTATTCTCTGTTAGATTTGCGTAAATTGTTTGGTAGAAAAATGTAGATCCTGTAAGGATCAAATAACCAGATGGAAAATGAAAACAACAACACTTTGTTGCGGGCAATGCACTTCCTTGAATCCTTGAAATCACTCTGCAATGCTTCTCAAGTGGCGGGATGTGGGGGGCAGACTTGATCAAATCTGATCCATTGGAATTGACGGATGCAATCAGAAACGTGCTTCGTTGTGTTGCACCACAGTTCTGCTCAGACCTTGGTGGTATGTTAGACTTAGACTGCATAGATATTTTTGGGCCTACACAGCTTCATTTGCGGAGCATGCAGCACGAACCACGATTGAACCGATTGGTTTGGACGTGTGATCGTACCTGGTGCAGGCGTTGGGCCTCAAAGCAGAAGGCGAGGCTTCACGACGACCTCATCAAACCTCTGTCTCCTTAGTGCTTTGAGAAAAAACAAACTTCCAACCGAAGTCAGAATGTGTTAGGTGCACTTGGAAGGTTTAGTTTCTCCACATGTGGAATTTAACGTGGGTTGATAAACACAGAAATCACTTGCACTTGGAATCTTTGCCGTCCTGCACCTCAGGGCCAAGAATGCACACCAACCCCGCAGCCCTTGAGACCACGCCCCCCCCCCTCGGCCTACACAAACCACACCCAGCACCACCCAGCTACAAGCAGATTCAACCCCCGAAACATGTATACAAGATAAATAGATATGAACAGTGTTTGCCTGGAAGTTTCGATGAGAGACGCACAATCCCACAATCCCACAATCCCACCATCCATGGAATATCATGGAATCCAACTATCTTTTCTCACAGAATGCCATGGAATGCCATGGAATGCCAACATTTCATGTCCAGGGGATGATGCAGTGCCGCTTGCAGTACCAGTGTGAAGACCTCAGTTGAGAAATGTCTGCCGTGTTGGTGCGAGTGGTGCGAGTGGTGCGAGTGGTGCTGATGCAGTGCCAAGTCCTGCCAGGATACAGGCAGAATCCCGGGTATTTCTGCGGGAGAGCCAGACCCAACGGCAGCAGAGCTCAGTTTGAGGGAAAACACAATTTGGAAAGGTGTAGGTTCTTAGTCTTGGACTTCATGGTGGTGGTTAGATTCGTTCTCGTTTTGACATTTTCTGACATTTGCTGACATTTTTGATATTTTGGCCTTCTGCTGAGGTATTTGTCTATAGCAAGCTCGCACTCCAGTGTTGTGATGACAGACACTTGCCTGCTTTTCCGTTTAGCCATGGGCCATGAGCCTTTATTCATGTACACGTTAGGCAATGTGCGTAGAGGTAAATATGGCTGGATTCTGTGAGTTTCATGCCGAGTCGCGAAATGCAGAAGTTTAGTCAGATGCAGCTGAGAAAGATGACCAAAAATTCGAAAGTTCAATCATGTTCGATAATCTTCATCAAAGCACCAAAAGCTGAGAAACATTGGAGGCCTGGGCATCAAGTTTCGTACCGAGGAATTGCCGGTGTCCTTATTTGTTTGTCACTCGGCAGGCAAAGGCACGGGCTGAAAGGGCTGCAGCCTGGCGGAACGAATCACCGATACGAAATCTACTGTTGGATTTGAATTTCAGAAGTCTTCTCGACAGAAGCCTTGAAGCAACTCTTGGAAAACGTCAACAAAATTTCAAGATGTGACAAGACGTGACAAGTTGACAACGTGGCAAGACGTGGCAGGTGCCTCTGAATTCTCGTCCTGCAGCACGGAGGCTGGTCTGGTGAGACCTGTGGCCACATCACCATCCTATGCCGTTACGGTATCCAACGATCCATCGCTATCCATGGGTTGCAGCCAGGCCGAGGAAGCGACTTCGAAGAGGTCCGAGCTGAAGCCCGGATCTTTTGAATTTGGCCTGGAGCATGAGGCTGTGGCAGCTGGCTGGGGTGTGGGCGGTGTGGGGTTCTTGAAATATGGAAAGGATTGCAAAGGTCATTGAGTCATTTGTTTTGTGCCTGATTTCTCTTGTGGCGTCATACACCAGGAATTGAAAAAAATCTTCCAGCCTCAAACTCCACATCGTCGATTTCGATGCGCTCAGGGCATCCCGTCCCTTGGACATTTCCTGGGTTCAAGGAGGTGCGATGTGGGTGTCATGCAATGTGGATCAGTTGGATCCTGGGATCATAGGAGACCTCAAGAGACACCTTGTGCCAATGGAACATTGGTATGAAATCTTGCGCAAAATACTGCAAACCATGTCATTTTCTGATGTTTCTGATGTTTGCTTCGCGTTTGACTTGCGTCAACTATCTTTTTAGATCTTTTTAGCTGATTTCAACAGCGAAGTTTTGACCAGGCGCTGGACAGACCTGGAGCTGTGTTGCTCAAGTAGCAGTCTTGGAAAGCGCGAGATCTTTCGTCTCACTGGCGATTTGACGACGATTTGACGACGATTCGATGATGCTCCTTGTTTCTGTTGTTTCTGTTGTTTGTGCTTCTTGATCTTCGTATCTGGTTGCATCGTGACCACTTTTACCGGATTCTATCCTTTCTTGCCACAAGATCGATGGGGATATAATTTTCAACCCAAGGCAGAGAATGTGCGATAGAAGCCCTAGTTAGAGATATGAAACTTGGGAACCACTTTCAGTTAGCTAGTGACAGTGTAGGGCCAGGTTCAGGTAGCTGATGACAGTGTAAGGGTAGGTGCGTGTTAAACTTTGATCCGTGCGACCCCATGTGTGCAACATATCAATAGGATACAGAGATACAGACTGAAGGCGCTCAGTTCAGAGTCTCAAAGGTACTTGTGATTCACATCAAATTCTGGGTTCTTGGTGGCAAACGAGCTCAATAGTGAAGTAGTGTGGCTTTCTTCCTTTAGGTATGACTCAACAAGACAATATTATATATAAAGTATCAACCATAGTTTTGACACCACTTGTCTATTATACAAGTCCATTAACATGTTGCAACATACTCTCTACAGCGCAGCATTCTGGTCTCTGGCACAAGACGTCGCCAGGTCTGAGTGGTGCTTCGATGCAACATCAATTGACGGGCATGTGCCTTCACGTGGACCCTTCGTGCCCAAACAAGGCCAGTTGGGAGAAAGCCCTGGAACAGATTCCTGGCTGTGTCCATGTGGAAGATGTATTGCAAACCACTGTACTGGAACTGACAGACTGACAGACTGATAGACAGTTAAAATTTAAGGTGGAAAAGTTCAGTGGTACAGACATTGCGGGCTTTTGGCATTGGGCATTGGGGGGGCTGGCTTGGTACTTGCCATACTTGCCATGGTGCTTCTCAGGTGGTCTTAAGTGCTGAAAGCAGCAGTGCTTGGGAGGTGCGGCTGGTTTCCATTTCTTTTCAATCTTCCGGCATTCCAAGTTGCGTGTTTTGTCGTGAATGCAGAATGATATCATTGACAGCATTTGACAGCTCAGAAACATGAGAAACTGTGAATGTGCAACCGGTTCTTCTACTTTGAAACCCAATTTGATGCGGCTTATTATAATGCTTTTGGAGGTTCTTGCAGCTATTTGATGGGTGCGCCAACGGCATGGATACAAGCAGTGCATTTGACTTCGGCCGCGCTTCATTTGTTTCAAAAAATCAGCAGTGCTTCCTGCTTCAGATGATTTACAGATATTTACAGTATCGCCACCGTGTTGTCTTTTCAATCCCCCTGTAAAGTGGAAAGTGATGCCATGAAGTTTCACAAAATAATTGTTTTGCAACAAGTCTTTTGAAACCTTTTGATTGTTCCTCATTGGATAGCCTCCTTTTTGGCTTTCTGCCGCAGGTACAGAAGTTGACATTTGGAAGACCGCCACTAAGCAGTTAACAGCTGCATTGTACAGTTCAAGGGCTTCTGTGATTGCAGAGCCAAGGGGCAAACCCAAAGATTCAAATTGACCACATGTTTTAAAGCATGGCAAAACAATCAAAAGATATGATAGATGCAGCGGGTATATTCATGAAATTTCATGATATTTCATGTATGGGGGCTCAACTTGTAGAGTGTTTGAGCTTTTCAACTTATTTTCAGTTAATCTACAGGGTTTTGCGTCAAAATTTGTGCTGATTGGGTGCCCAGTGCTGGGCTCAAGACTTGGAGCCTTGGGCCAGCGACCGTCTTTTCGACCGCAGCTCAGTGCGTGCGGACGCGGGTGGCGGGTGGAACAACCCGTGTTGAAAACCCGCGTGAATGTGGTGAAAACCAAAGCCGCAAACCTTTTGGTGTCAAGGCGATGTGCTTCGCTGTCTTCCAAATCGGGAATGTTTGAACCCGAGCTTTCCATAGGCTAAGAGGCCTAATCAGATCTAATCAGCATAGTCCTTCTGCTGTAGCTCCCAGAGGGGTGCTATGAACCTGCAGGGAGTGTGGATGGGTTCCACAAGAATTCAAGCAAAGTAAGCTGAGGCGGGTCACTTCTTGTGATCTTTCCTTGAAGCGCAAAGAAAAAGGGCAAATCTTTCCATTCCAACTGATCTAACTGATCCAACTCTTTCTTCCCTTTGGTCTCAATGAATTCATAGCACCAGAATGCACATGACGATGCTCCATGATGAATCGATATGAATCGTTTGTTTGTTTCTGGCTGACAGCCAATCGCGTCGTCATGCGCGATGACGAACAGTTCGGGCAGCAAGATGCACAGTTGGAGACTTCCGGAGGCTGAACAAACCTGAAGCTTCCATCAAAATTCAACCCCAACAGGCCCAACAGCAACAAAACATTGTACCTTACCTTGAATCAGATTCCAGACGTGAGATCTCTGAACACATTTGTCAAGGCTGTCCCTGGTAAGAGATGTTTTGACAATTTGAACGGCTTTCAAGATCTATGTAAATATACGTAGTTTTGTTGTTCTGCCACAACAAGGCATGTACAAGTCAAAACAAACACGCGCAACTTCTTGAAGATGCTACGCTTTGGGTGAAACTTTACTGAGACTCTTTTTGCACACAGCTGATCCACCCAAAGCCCCGCCATACTGTGCGCGGCTGTGGCCGTGCTAAGCTGAACTGCTTATGCCTCCAAAAAGTACCACGCTCAGTACTTTTTGTCATGTGCATTCTGAGGCTGATCTGAAACTGATCTCAAAACTTTACAGCCCCTGAGGTTTGCCGAAGTACACAATCAGGACAGCGGGTAGAAACGAAAGTGAGAAAACTAGCTTCGTTGCTGCTTGGCAGAGCAGGTCACTTGATGTCTGTTGCATCTGTTGCATCTATTGCTGCAGGGTGGGCCTCATTTGGCTCGTCCCGGTGGGTACTTTGGTGCTGGGCTGCTTTCATTGGACGCCTCTTCTGTTGGCCTTGCTGCTGACGCCGCTGGAGGTTCCAAAGGCGCCACTGCAATGCATCTGATGCATCCGATGCATCGCCCCATTGAACAACTTCTCAGTCGCAGTCCATACATTTTATACCATTGTTCAATCTTGTTCACCTTGTTCAATTGTCTGCTCATGACGGTATGTTTGGCAATCTGAGATGAATCAGATTCCTATGACTTTTGATGTGCAGGGCCTTCACATTTTTGATCATTTTTGTTTACCTCTCTGATATTTGATATTCGATATTTGCATGTCAATCATCTTGATTTTGCGGCGCTCAATTCGACATTTGCAGAAGACTCTGGCATGTCATTTTTCTTGAGCCTGTGTCAGTCAGAGTTTTACCAAGAAATATAGGTTCTAATTCTTCTCAGGCAACCTGATGTTGATGCAAGGTCACATATTTCGCATAGAGCAGTTCGTGTTTAATCGGGCAAATCAGATGATCTTTTGTATCGCTGTCCCTACTGATTACAATTGTGCACTTAGAAAAGGGACGGAGCTCCTGACTTCAGTGTTTTTCCTTCTCGTGTCTCATACTGCTTTGGCTGACATGTTTGTGGCTTTCTTATCTTTCTGAGCCTGTCCGCTACATTCCCTTACCTTCCTCAGTAATTTGAACTTGGAAGTAGTGTTTTTGTGCATTTGAGAGGTGAGGAGCCGGCTTTTCGGCGGCCGCGCAAAGAAGCTGCTGCCGTGTTTAAAGGCGATCACCGATAGAGTGGAGTGGGTCTGAGCGGGTCACCATTTTTCCAGAAGGTGACCAACATATGATGTATACAGTGTGTATACAGTGTGTATACATGTGTATACAGTATTACATTGTACATGGGAAAGAAAGGAGGCAAGATCTTTTGCAGAACAAGCTGGTCTTCAAACGAGATTGTGAAGTCATATTTACATATATTTACGACAGAAACAATCGCAGCCTCTGATCTCAAAGTCACAGAGTAACTGGAGCATAAGTTGAAACAGTCCCAGGGTAAAATCAACATCTTACGATTAACCTGTCGTGCAGGTGCCAGCCTTGCTGCGTTTGTCCCTGCTCTGGGTACTTCAGGTGGGTTTAGCAGCTCTGCCACCTATGACATTGGTAGAGTATATGGTTTGATATGGTTTGATCTGCAAGCGTTTTGGGGTTGTCAGTATAGAGTCTATAGGTTTGAAATGATTCATAAACCTTCATTGTTGCTTAGAACCTGTGCGTCACAGACAGAGTTTTTCCGAAAGGTTGAATCTGCTTCGGTCTTCGGGCTGGCTGTAGATGGGATCGTGAGGATATCAAGATATCTGGGGCTCCACTTGCACCTTTTGGTGAAGTCTTGCTAGTCCTTGTACAGTACTGTTTGTTTTTTTCCCTTGATGCCAAATCTTTGCAGTTCCGGAAGATTTTTTCCGGTGCCTTGAATGTTCAGTGCAGTTGACTATGTGCCAGGTTTGGTTCATCATTCTTTGGAGGGCGAACGCACCAAACTCTGACGCGCAGTCACCAGAAGCATCCAGTGTCTCGTCAGCAGATGGCACGGATTGACAGAATTGATGTGCCATGGAGCCAAGTTCATGTCTTGTCAAAAGATGTCCCAGCAAATGCAACCTTCCTGTTTGGAGAATCTATCTTTATTATTCTTTAGTGTCAACTATGTGAAATTAGAACAAGAAAGAACACGTGTCTCTATATCATAGAATCATGTATCCTTCAATTGATTTTCCTCTGAGCCAAGGTGAAGACTTAGAAGCTTTGAGAATATCTGTGGTGTTGCCTTGTGCCGGTGAGGCAAGTCTGTGCAAACTGTTTGATTTCTTTCATCGACCGATGTTTGCTGTTTCGGTCTTGGCACGCCAATGCAGATCTTCAAACATGGCTTTTGCCTTCCATGGTACCAAATTTTTGCGGCAGTGGATTCTTTTCACATGTTTTCACAGACATGTTTTCACATGTTTTCACATGTTTTCACATCACCACTGTAGGATGGACATGTCAAAACATCGCCGAGCCCTCCGGGCCGAGCCCTCCGGGCCGTTTTTCATTGCAGGGCCTCTATGCTCTGAACACCGTCCGGGCGGTCTACGAGTCCCTGCCGCCGGGTGTGCTCCATGAGATCATCGTCGTAGACGATGGGACGGAGCCACCTTTGTCGCAGAGCTTTTTGACGCCGGATGTGCTGGAGAAGTTTCAGGTGACCATTCTTCGGCATGTTCCCTGGCTTCACTTGGCTTCAACATGTTTCAACATGCTTGGCTTCATGTTTCAACATGTTTCAACAGTTAACATGTTGTTCTAAGTCACTTGCAGTGTTGCAGTGTTTCACTAGTGACTGTAAATCCAACGTCCCATGATGTCCCAAATTTGGGTCAGGAGGAGGTGGTTATTCATCTCAAACGTTTGGTTCCAGTGCTGCTTTGATGCGCTGCACCGCTGCACCTTCTTGCCAGGTTTTGCGTACCTTGCATACTGTATTCAAGAAATCTCAAGAATTCATTCTCATTTTCAATCGTTTCTTTCCTGTCTACTTCATGTGCTTGTGGTGCGAGTGATTGAATTTGTGTCTCCAGGCTGGAGTGAAGTCGACACTTTGTTTTTTTCTTGGTTTATAACTTTTATAACTTTTGAGTTTTCAAACCACCTTCTCTCTTTGCTTCCTGCTCTCCTCTCAGTTTGTTCGCCTCGGTATCGATCACCTCGTTTGCTGCACAGTAGTCTTGCAATTTCTAAACCTAATAAAAAAAGAACTTTCATCCCCCAAAATCACCAAAAAGTTGAAGGTTTCTTAGTGAGTTTATCGCATTATTCAATTATTCCTAGATGTTTTGCAAGACATGAACGCTGATGAACGCTGTTGAGAAACCTCCAAGGCTGAGACAGTTGGCCTGATCGGTGCCAAGAAGGGCGGTGGGGATGCAGCCACTGGCGACATTGTGGAGCACTCAGGAGACAGACAGACTTTCACAGACAAAATCACGGCTCCCATCATTTTTTGCAGCATCAAATCATCAAACACAACCAGCAACAACCAGATTGGCCATTGAAACAGACAAAATGATGAAACATATTGAAACATATTGAAAAGACATGGAATATCAAAACAAACAGAGTGAAAACGAGATGATTTGCGTTGCGCTGAGATCGTTTTCTTTGATTGTCATGTAGCTCCTCAGCCTGGCTGGCACGAGTCCTTCGTCAGGACGGGGGAATCTGGGAAAATCCGGGGCCATGCGCAGCTTCGACTTGAAGCATCTTGAAGCAATATTTAATTACTCAATTTACCGATAAAAAGGCAAATTCTCAGACAGTTTCCATTTTTGAGGAAAGGCTTACCTTTCATCCTGACATGAACAATACACATTGGACATGTTTGAGACGGTTGCATGTGGCTGACATTTCAATCAGTTGATGTTTCTGGGGGTGCGTCGCGTCCAGGCTGATCGGTGAAAATTATCGCCGGATCGTCACCCCGGTCATCACAGACCTGGATGTCGGGACAGAAGCTGTGTTTGCCGCAAGGGATGGATGTGCTTTCAAACTACCACGGATTTGTCAGAGAGAACTCATCCATGATGTTGTCGAAGTGCACAAGCGCAATCGAAAAGATGTACAATGTACATATCAAGTATCTTGAACTGTCTCTTGACATAGTCTCTTGACATAGTCTCTTGACATAGTCTCTTGACATAGTCTCTTGACATAGTCTCTTGACATAGTCCCGCGACTCTCTCTGGAGATGGAGATAGGTGCAGGTGTCAAGTGCATAGCAAATCTGTGGAAGACTTTCAGCTCTGGAGGACTTGGCAGCAGCGTGGAACTGGTGGGCAGGCCCGGCTGACATCCAGCACTGAGTAGATGATTTGGCTCAGCCACAACCAAGATGGCACAAATTGAATTGACAGTGAAGAGACGGAAGGGAAGAGAAGGGAACAGAAGGGAACAAGAGTTGGACAATGATTTGTTCCGTGAACAGAAGCGATATTCCCCCAAAAAAGGCTGTGTAAAATACGAGAATTACGACAGGCAAAATGCTACCTCACCTGGGACGCAGACTTCAAGTGGTTTGAGTCGGAAGATCCGCTAAAGCCTCAGTTGGCACTTGCGAGTACTGGCATGAGTCAAATGTGCATGGAGATGCCGAACGGCCTAACAGATCAATACATGGCCAACATCCTAACATATTACAGTAATACATCATTGAAAACCATTGAAGAACATTCTGAAATACTAAAGTACTCTGAAAAATATGAAAAATGTGCATGAGAAATTCTCACTCGAAGCTACTTGCTAGTGAAGACTTCCGCAACAAGGCCGTCGAGGCATAGGCAGCATAGGCAATGCGGCAATGCATCGAGTCATTCGATCGCAAGGTACGTGCCGATTTTGTCCGGAGGTCTTCTTGGAATCAGCAAACGCTGGTGGAATGAGACCGGAGGCACGCTGTGTCGCATTGTGTCGCTGTGTCGTGGAAACTGGTGCAGGCCCAAGGCCTGCTCTTGGCATGTTGTTGCATCATGCGTTGTCCAGTGCGGCTGGGCTCAAGTATCTTGAAATTTGTGAAGATCGTTCAAATGAAGTATCTTGAACCTTCATGAAGTATCTTCGACTTCAAGTGGTTCGGATTTGTTCGGGGTCCAGGATCCAGTTTAGGAGTCTGGATCTTGGAGTGCAGGCTACGACGTACAAATGGTTGGCTGGGGCGGTGAAAATCTTGACCAGTCCTTGAGGCAGGGCTTGCAGAGAGGAAACTTGAACCGTAAGCAGCCAGGAAACACCAGTCATAGAGGGAGCGGATAAAGTTGGAACCAAACAAAGTAATCTCAAGTAGCTTGAGCGAGACATGAAGGGAGGAAAAGTGGTGACACTTTGAGGGACTGGGGGGCACAGGAGTTGGCTTTGCGGCGGTGAGATCATGATGGCGAAGGATTGCGTGTGCTTTGCGAACTCGGAGCAGCCCGAATGGATTCCGCGTGGGCATAATTTGTGACCTGTTCAAACTGGATACTGTAATGACGGATACCACCAGAATCCTTCATTGCCTTGGTTGAGATTCGATAAACTAAGAACCAAACTAGCACAAGTGACCCTGACCCTTTTAAGTCAGGATGCACCTGGAAGTCTTTGCACGTGCACAGGATTCTTTCGTTGCACACATGTGGCGCAAACCTGACGATCCACGCACACGGGCGAAGTACACCTTGAAAGCAGGCAGAGGGCGAGGGAATTTCAGTTCGCCACTACAGTACTTTCAATTACGAAAGCCAGCTAGCTGGATCGTTGCTGTCTGCGAACAAAGTGAGTATAAGGGGGTCTGGGGGGAGGGCTTGCCCAAGTCCACCAAAATCTCGCTATTACCTGGGGGGAAGGGTGGGTCTTGGGAGCGTTTTTCCGGGTCATGTACCATGCGGCAAAAGGGTGACGGTAGGGTATCGATTCCCCCTAGGTCCGCATTTTGGGGAGCCTTTTGGGGTGCTTGGCAGAGGAGCCGATGTCTGCGAGAAGGGGGAAGGAGTGCTAGCACAGATAAGAAAGGTAAGGGTAAAGGCGCCTTTTGCCACTGCTGTCGATGTTGGTGGAGGAAGGACAAAAGTCGCCCGGCTCGAGGGTCTTTGTCGGGCACTGTGATGTCAGATGGGAAGGTGTTTGTGTGAAGGAGGAAGGAGGGCTAGCGCATAATGCGAGGTTTGAAGGCGTAGACAGACCAGCTTTCACAAAAATTAACCACCAAAAGTACCGTGTAGGAGGTACATAATGGCCGTGGAGGAGGCAATCAACTCCTGGACCTCGATTTCTGAAAAAAATCCAACTGTTCCAGCAGATACTCCGGCCTACTGAATCGCGCCCGCTGATGTTTTCCAGATACCTCTGACCGCCGGAAAAGCTGACATGAGTGCCGTGACCGCGCCACAGACCGGTTCCGGGATTCCTTCACCTTGAGTCACGGCCCGGAATCCGCAGAAGCACTTGGTTTTCCACTACTCCAATTTTGCATATCGAACATTTCATCAACAGTGCCATTCGGGCCAAGGTGTTGCGGTTAGGCTTTGCGGGAAGTCACCCACCAATGGGGGTAAGTGCTGAATCTATGAACCACAACCAATAAGCATGGCAACAACAAAGATCGTTCTACACTAGCATCAGTTCTAACAATGTATCATCATCATCATAATCATCATCGTCATCATCATCATCGTCGTCATCATCATCCTCGTAATTATTACGAAAGCCAGCCCTTCCTTCCCTTCTTACTACCAAGCTCCTGGCTTTCGTTCCTCCCTTCTCAGGTATCTTTCAATCTGTTTGATGGTACTGAAATTTGTGTTTGAACTACAGCACAGTACACATTTTGCACATTTTCCAGTACACAAAAAAACTCAAACGCATTGCCGCATTGTGCATCTTGGATCATCTTGGATCATCGCAGGTGCGGCCAATCGGAACCGCTTGCGTGCAGCCGTGGCTTGGTAGATGCCTCAATCTCGGTGTGCGCAGCAGGCTGCACACAGCTTCACCATGGAGCATCAGTATGTTCGCAGCAACCAACTATGTTAAATATTGTTAAATCATAGTGAATATCTTGGAATCCAGGCATAGTCATAGTTGGCACAGTTGGCACAGTCCAATCGAGGAGGCTATGAGTTTTTTTGAAATTGTCCATTGTGCGATGCATTACAATTTGCCGTTCAATCATGTTCAATCTTTTGATGGTTGAGTCAATCGTTTTTAAAACCCAATTTAAAGCCCCATATGACTAATGGGAGAATCTATGGTTTCCTGTAGATTTTCCCAACAAAACCAATCCATTGAGACTAAGGTTTGGCGAGTTTTCAGAAAAACTCTCCTCCTTCCCCAGTCTGCAGTCTGAGCGACGAAATGCCGATGGCACTCCTTGGTGCTCCTGTAAGGTTACGTTGATGGAGCCATTGCCAAAGATTCGCGAATGCAAACATTCCAACCAAATACTGTATGAATGAACGTCCTCGGAAGTAAAGATGAATTGGTGGACACCTCTTTTTCTGTAAAGTTTCGGCTTCAGCATATGCAGACTTGTAGTGACTGCCAGCAATACCTGGCGGAGATCGACGGTCTGTGTGCCTTTTGCCGGTCTGTGCAGCGGCTGACCTCCGAGCTTCGGCGATTGGGGCCTTGCCTACGTGGTTGGGCCATTGATCAAACCCGCGTTTGGGTTTCGATAGTGCAGGAGGAGGCTGGGAAGTGGGAGAAAGGGGCTGAAGCAGCCCGGAAAGCCGCCGAGGCAGCTGCCACTTCGAAGGCAGCCTCTCCTGTCACTTCAAAGGAGGAAGTTAAGTCTGAAAAAAGGGAGCCTTTGGCTCCTAAAGGGAGAGAGGTCTCTCCTGGGAAAATCTCAAGCCCTTCAGAAGGAATTCCAGTAGAGAACGAAGAGTTACTGCCGCCCGCCGTCAAGCAGGAAGATATAGAAGAGGAGCCCAGAAGAAAGGAAAAGAAGACCAAGGGGGACATTGCTGCCCCAGAGGAGCGGAAAGAGAAAAAAGACACAAAAACAAAAAAGGAAAAAGCAAAGAAGAAAAGCAAGAAAAGTCGTTCCCGCCCGAGGAGGAGTAGAAGAGATAGCCGAAGGCCAAGGAGAGATAGAAATTCCAGGCCCACTTCGAAGGGGGGAGAATCTCCTAGGAGGGGAGATTGCAGACCTCCAGAGCCAGCCAACCCTCCATCTAGCTGGAGAGGATATTCACAACATCGAGACTATTTCCAGTCGTACTACTTGCCGCCAGGCAACTCAGATCGGTACGACGCCAATTGGGGCGAAAACAAAGGGCAGAAGAAGAGGAAGAAGCAGCAAGAGTGGCGAGACGCTCAATTTGAGGACCGATACTACCGGTATCGGTGATGGCATTGCGCAGACCAGCTGCAGTCAAAGCCGCAGCAAAAGACGCAGTACGAGTCAGAGGAGTGTTGAGGAGGCCGGCCAGAGCCGAGGAGGAGAGAGATCCGGGCGTGAGAGGGGAGAACTTGGAAGATCGCTTCATTGCAGGCGAGTTGGTCGAGGCATCGAAGGTGCCGTTGGGCCGGCTCACCCAAGGAACTCTCCTGGTGTGCGAGGGAGAATATTGGGGAGCACCTTGCAAGGTATGTGGGGTGATCCGGAGTTTGAAGATAAAGGGAGCATCGGATGTGGAGCTCGCGGTGAAAGCCGAGGGCACGGACCACGAAGATCTCCTAAAGTGGAACTCCGAAAATCCCGAAGTGGCCATTCGAGTTCATCTATGCGGAGGAGCCTGTCCAGCCAAGATCGAAGCCAAGGACTTGATCCACGCTCAAAAAGTCCGTTTAAAGACAGGAGAAGACGAAGGGGGATGGACAGAGAACATGAAAGGGTCTCTGGACGAGCTGGCCGCCTTGAGGAGAGACAAGGCCGCTCCCGGTCCAGAAAGAGAGGAGAGAGAGAGGGCTCAGAAGGCCGATGGCAAAGAAAGAGAAAAGAAAAAGAAGAAGAAGAAGAAGGCCAAGCGGAGCAGAAGTACCAGCGAGACCAGTCAAACAAGGGAGAAAAAGACTCCGAAAAAGAAAGTGGAATCACAAAAAAGTCTGTCTCAAGTTTTTGGGACGACGGCCTTGGATCCAGATCCCAAGGTACGGAGGAGGTTGCTGAAGAGAGTAAAGAGGAAGATGCGAAAGAAGAAGGACGAAAGTTCCCCAAGCAGTGGGAGCTCCTTGGAGGGGAGCTCGAAGGCATCGAGCTTGGGGAGCAGCGAATCTGGCCAGCTCTTCGAGGACAGTCACAAGGTGAGGAGCATCAGCCGGAAGGCCCCGGGCGCATTGACCTATGGTATGGTCAAGGAGATGCAGCGTCAGCTGCTCACATCGGCGGGCACGGTCTGGGAGAGGGACCGGTCGGCGGTACCGCCAATAGCCTTGCAGTACTACAGGAGTCAGCTTTCCAGCAGGCTGACAGGATGAGCTGCTCGGGAGGCCTTGACGTTGAGCTGGGCCCTAGACCTAGCATTGCAAGGGAAAGTGGCCAATCTGGCCGATTGCTTGTCTCAGCGGCTGAAGAGCATAGAGATGAGCGCAGGCGGCACAAGTTGGATGGTAGCCCAGCGGGTGGAGGTGTTGCCCCCAGAGAAGGGCCACCTATCGAGTCGCGCCGAAGCGCAAGCTGCGGCCAAAGAAAACAAGGACGAGTTGAAGGCAAGGAATTTGGGCAAAGGAAAGGAAAAGGGCAAGAGCGACAGCGCCTACCCCGCATGGCGCCCCGGAGGAAAAGGGGAGCAGAAGGGGAAGGACAAAGGAAAGAACAAGAAAGGAAGCGACAAAGAGGAAGGGAAGAGAGGCTCCTAGACAAGGGAGCAGCGGAAGGAAAGAGTCCAGAGAAAGAAGCACTCCTGGAGGAGTATAAGGGAGTGGAAAAAGAGAAACTCCTTAGGAGGGGAGTGAGTGAAGAGAAAAGAGAGGAGGACCAGTCTCTCCTGAAAACAACAAAGGGAGTGAAGACTGGCTTGTCATATCAAGATGACCCTTGCGGCCCTTTTGAGATCCAAGGGATGAGCAGAATGACTCTGACGCCTGGTGAGGCCGGGTTCTTGAGTACAGATGCCGCTGGTGGTGCAAGGCCGACTACCAGTGCCCAGTTTTCCAACAAAGAAGATGGGACCACTTTGGAAGATGGCTGCTGTGGTAATGCGGCGGCGCTGGCAGCTGCTAGCCCTAGCATGGTGGGCTTTCGTCGAAGTCCTCTAGGAGCTGCTGAAGACTGCTTCCGTGCCGGTGGTCCTGAAAAAGACGCGCGCAGCCGTGATGAAGGGTCTGGGGAGGGCCAGTTTTCAAAAGAGCTGGGTGGTTGCAAGTTTTCTGCTGTTTCCCCCCTCCTTAGGTCTCTGTTGATTTCAACGGAAAAAGAGCTTAAGTTTAGACGCGGCGAGACCCAGACCACGGGTGACGTTTTTCCGTTACCCGCCAACATTGACCTATTACGCGGGGTGGGGAAGCTGGATGAGGATGCCCTCCTGCTGCTTAGTTGTGTTTGTCTAGGTTTAAACAGCTACGCTGGAACCGCGTTAGAGTCAAGTGCACCTTTGAGTAAGGTTCAGAAATTTTTCCTGGAAGGATTGGTCGCATCAGTGGAAGATGTGATGGGATGGTCTGAAGTGTTTGGAGATATTTCCTGGCAGAGTTTTTTCCAGCTGAAAAGCCTAGACTATGTGGGTGATGAGGTGGCTACAGCCCGGGTCACATCTTGGGCAAACCTGCAATCGGCAATCCCTGTGGAAGTAGGCAGTGTGCCTTTGAGTCAGGTGGTTGGCCCGGGTTGTGCCCATTATGTGGACCATTTTGAAGACTTTTTACTGGATGAAAAATCCAGGACCTACACAAGGCCCCCCAAGGTGATGGTGACGGAGCACGACTGGGATGGGGTCTGTGAGGGCCTTATCTCGGCTGGAATATGTGGAGTCATGGCAGAAAATGAATTGTTTCAAGTAGAGGGAAAACCTCTGCTGAATGGATTATTCGGCGTGTCCAAAGGAGAACAAGTAGATGGGCATGACGTCCATCGCTTGATCATGAATTTGATCCCGCTGAACCATATATGTCGGGGCATTCAAGGAGATGTGGCTACACTGCCAGCCTGGTCGTCATCAGGGCCCCTGTTTTTGATGCCTTCACAGCAGTTGTTGATCACCAGTGAAGACGTGAAATGTTTCTTTTATATTTTCCGTGTTCCTCAAGATTGGCAGCGCTTTTTAGGTTTCAACAACGTGGTAAACCCCCGTTTCCATCCGGGTAAGGCAGGACGGCACGTCCTGGTGGCGAAGGTATTACCCATGGGATTTAAGAACAGCGTGAGTTTGGCACAGCACATCCACCGAATGATTGTCAAAGGTGCCTCACGGAGAGTCTCAGGTCATCTGGAAGGTCATCAAGAGTTGAGGAAGGATAGGCCCTTCCCAAATTCAGGAAATATTCATCGCGTGTATTTGGATAATTTCGATGAGTTGGAAAGGGTGGATGCTAAGTTGGCTGAGACCATACGAGGTTCCCCAACTCCGGGTGTGCTTGCTCTTAGGCAAGAGTATGAGCATTGGGGAATACCCCGGCATCCAAAGAAAGCTGTTCAGAGAGGGGTCAAGGCGGAGGTTCAAGGTGCAATTGTCGATGGAGCTCTAGGATGTGCTTACCCAAAACCTGAGAAGGTTTTAAAGTACACACAATTGGCTCTATTGACTGTGACAACGGGCAGGTGTAGCCAGAAGGAAATGCAGGTGGTCGCAGGAGGGCTGGTTTACCTCGCCACTTTTCGGCGTGCCCTGATGGGTAGCCTTAACAGTATCTGGTCATTTATTGAAGATTTCAACCACTACCCGGCGGTCATTCGGCTGGAAATCCCAGAGTTGGTGAAGGTTGAGATTTTGCGTTTCCTCATGCTGTTACCGCTGGCGCGCATGGATTTTCGGGCTATGCCTGATGAAAAAGTCACCGCTAGCGATGCTTCATCAACAGGGGGTGGTGTTACAGTGAGCCGAAGTCTCAGCAACATTGGCCAGATCGCTGCCTCCTGCCCAGTTAGGGGAGATGTGGCGGAAGTTGAGGATATGACTCAGGTTTTAACAATTGGTATCTTTGATGGCATAGGTGCCCTTCGGGTTGCAGCTGATGCTGCAGGGCTTCCCGTAGCGGGACACGTTAGCATTGAGATCAACAAAGAGGCTTCAAGAGTACTGGAGTCACGATTCCCGAGCACGGTTTTCGTGGATGATGTCAATCTGGTCACAGCTGACACGGTAAAGGAATGGGCATGCCAATTCACTCAGGTAGGGCTCGTGATAATCGGGGCAGGGCCACCCTGCCAGGGGGTCAGTGGTTTGAATGTAGACAGACGGGGAGCCTTACGGGATCACCGAAGTAAGCTCTTTAAGTATGTGAGTCGCATTCGGAAGTTGGTGGCAAGGCAATTTGCCTGGGCGCAGGTGCACTGCATCATGGAATCTGTACAATCAATGGACGAGCAAGATCGTCAAATGATGAGCATGGACTTTGGTGACCTGCCTTGGGCCATTGACGCTCAAGGAGTCAGTATGTCACGCAGGCCGCGCCTCTATTGGCTCAGCTGGGCTCTGGTACCAGAGAGCAACGCAGAAGTGCACCCGCCAAAAACCTCCGAATGGAAAGGTTTTGGTGAGGTAAAGTTGTCAGGTAGAATAGAAGAGTCCCGGTATCTGACCCCAGGGTGGACCCGTGTCACCTCTGAACCTTTATACCAACTTTCACCACGTCCCGTCCTAGATCTCACCCAGGTCGACGCCCTGCCGGGATAGATAAACTGAGCCCAACGGAAAGGCAATTATGGCAGGATGACCTCTTCCGGTTCCCACCATACCAGTACCAAACATGTTTCCATGTCCAGAAAGGTGGCGCCTCTCGCCTGGTGAATGTGGAAGAACGTGAAGTGATCCTAGGGTTCCCTAGGCATTTTACCGTGGCCTCTCTCCCGAAGAGCGAGCAAGGGACCACAGCACACCAGGACTTGAGGCTCACTCTCCTGGGCAATAGCTGGAACGTCACGGTGGTGACCTGGTTATTGGGACAGCTCTGCCAACCGTTGGGCCTCATTCCATGCCTCAGTGTCCAGCAGGCCATTGAACGAACTTCTCCAGGAGCCACGGTGGACTTAGCCTCCTTTCTGACAAGACCGCCCATGGGAGGACCGAGGAAACACTTGGTGGCTGGGAAGGAACTCCAATTAGTCAAAAAGCTTTTGAACCTGGTGAGTATCAAAGGTGAAGATATTCTCATCTCTGCTCCCAGTGAAGATACACTTCGGTACCAACGCCTTAGGGCTAGCATACCCTCGAACCTGTGGGTTTGGAGAACAGTGTGTGGCTGGACTTGGAAAGGCTCCAAAGAACACATTAACAACCTTGAAATGAGGGCGGTGCTGTGTGCCTTGCATTGGCGCATTCTAAAATTGAGGACCAGGGGGCGCAGAATAGTGCATCTTACTGACTCCCTCGTGTGTCTCCATACGTTGACTCGCGGTAGAACCAGTAGCCGCAAGTTGAGAAGAACCGTGGCTCGAATCAATGCTTTGCTCCTTCTTTCCCAAAACATGGCGGTGTGGACTTACGTTCATACTGCTCTAAATCCGGCGGATGCGCCCTCCAGGGGGCGCTTTCGGAGGAAATGGGGAGGAAAGTGAGCCAACACATGGAAGGAAGAAGCAAAGCAGAAAGGCAAGCCACGAGAGCCCAATTGGGGTCACTTCAGCAGTTGACAGTACAGCCCAAAACCCGTGAGAGGTACAACCGAGCTATTAATCGTTTCCATGAGTATCTTTCAACAAATGAAATCACTCTGCCGTACAAGCGAATTTTCCTTGATCCAATTGTTTCGGACTATTTAGAGTTTTTATGGAGTCAAGGGGAGGGACGCAGTTTGGCGTCAGACACGTTGGCAGGCCTACAAGACAAGGATCCCCATATCAAAGGGCACCTCGCCAATAGTTGGCGGTTGCTCAAAACTTGGGTAGCCAATGAAATACCATGCAGAGCTCCTCCATTAACAGAGGTTGCTTTGCAGACGCTTGTTGGCCATTCTCTCTTTGCCTGCCAACCTGTTTTCGCCTTATCCCTCCTACTCGCATTTTATGGACTCCTAAGAACTGGAGAATTGTTAGGGTTGCATAACAAGGATATTTCTCAGGCCGGCCCTACCTCCGTAGCCATCATTTCCTTGGGATTGACCAAAGGAGGACGACGGGCTGGTGCCGCCGAGAGCGTCACCATTTCTGAGGAAGAAACTCTACGAAGACTTTGGCAATGGCAACAAGCCACCAATCCTGGCACTGCCTTATGTCCAGCGCCCCATCGATGGCGGAAAATGTTTAATGACACCATCTCCTCTTTAGGACTCTCCGAGTATCAATATAGGCCGTATAGCCTACGGAGGGGAGGTGCGACATTTTATTTTCAACGCCACGGGCAGTTGGACCGTTTGTTGATCCAGGGTAGATGGCAATCTTCTAAAACTGCCCGGTTATATATCAACAGTGGCTTAGCCACTCTTGCCGAAACTGAGCTAAGGCTCACTCCTCATGCGCGCGTGTTTCACAAACAATTTCTTCACTCCATGTCTTCTCCCTTGCCAAAACTTGAGCTTGCCACTCGTGGCAGGGCAGGGGGAACTGGGAGTAAGAGCTCGAAAAGCTCTAAAGCAGCGAAATCAATGAAAAGAGAAAAAAGGTAGGCGGACTGGCTGTCCCCTGGTCTGGCAGGGCCCAGTACTACCTAACATTCTTTGGCTCATTTTTCCCTCGGTCTGGCGAGGAAAAATGGGGGGAATGTAAAGCCATACTCTCAAGAGAGAGAGATAGGCTGAGAGTGTGGGAGTGCTGCAAAGTTTAAACTTTAATTTTCAGGCCAATGGAGTTTGCTACTCCCCTTTTGTGTTTTTTATAACAAAGCAGGTCTTGCCGTGTCAAAAAAGAGCGAAACCAATGAATCTTTGAATGAACGTCCTCGGAAGTAAAGATGAATTGGTGGACACCTCTTTTTCTGTAAAGTTTCGGCTTCAGCCCCGCAGCCTCCCTCCCAGCAAGATCAAAACGGGAGTAAGAGCTCGAAAAGCTCTAAAGCAGCGAAATCAATGAAAAGAGAAAAAAGGTAGGCGGACTGGCTGTCCCCTGGTCTGGCAGGGCCCAGTACTACCTAACATTCTTTGGCTCATTTTTCCCTCGGTCTGGCGAGGAAAAATGGGGGGAATGTAAAGCCATACTCTCAAGAGAGAGAGATAGGCTGAGAGTGTGGGAGTGCTGCAAAGTTTAAACTTTAATTTTCAGGCCAATGGAGTTTGCTACTCCCCTTTTGTGTTTTTTATAACAAAGCAGGTCTTGCCGTGTCAAAAAAGAGCGAAACCAATGAATCTTTATATATATATATAAAATACATATTCATATACACATTCATATATATATATATATATATTTACATACATGGATGTATACATGTATTATATAAATACCATCTTTGAGTATTTTGAGTGGTGCCTTGTAGTGCCTTCGAGGTACGGGGATTTGAGCAACATTTTGGAGGTCAAGAACCGGCTGAAGCGTTTGCCCCAGAGTGATTTCAGAACCTGAAGATGCCAAGATGCCAAGATGCCAAGATGCCAAGATTTTCTACATTTCTTTGGATTTCAGATACCATGTGTTCGTAGAAAGGCTGTGCTCTATCTCGTGGGAATGCCCATGGCATTTCTCTTCAGGTGCAAATCCTTCGCTTGGTTCATGCATCGGTTCAAGCATGTCTACGAGGACAGACAAATCTCCTTGAAAGACTGACATAGACTGACCATCAAGCTGTTTGGATGTTTGATCGTCGTTTGCAATCATTCCACCATCACATTGCCGACAACGAAGTAAGACATGTCTGACACATCCGAAAACTGAAAAATGCATAAACATGCTCTACTCACAGCGTTTGTTCTTTATGTTTAAATGATCAATCTCAATTTGGCAGTGACATCAACTGACTTCCTCATAAAGTGATTCCATGATTCCCATCGTTTGCACCTTCAGGATGGAGGACTGATTCCCAAAGAGACTTTCACCCTGAAGGACGCTTCACATAGTGGTCCAAGACCGAGTCTCTTCATTTTCAAGCCTTACAACTGCCTTACAACCAAGCATTTGCAGGTGCTTTGCACAGTTCCTGCATAGCAAAGCTGTAGCAAAGCTATAGCAAAGCAGTCGAATGTATCTCGTTCGTTTCGGTGCGGCCGAGTACCGGACCAAGAATATTAGCTGTGAGGCACCACCGGGTTCGAAGGGTTCGGCTGTCATTTCTCATGCCGAGATATGTGCCTCACCTATGAGGGATCTGCAGGGCACGGAACTTAGATTCAGCAATGGTGACTGCCTAGGGAACACAATTGCGAACGCAGCCAGTAGAAGTGTGAAATGACTAAAATGAAGTACCAATGAGATCTGATAAGTACTTGCCCCCAATAGGGTTCTCTTCTTTGCCCCATTTCTGGCTTTTCACTTGCGCAGACTGAGGACTAGCCCGAATGGGCGGGGCACAGCAGTCCTGACCTCACAAGCTTTGCATGAGAATGTTGACACATTGCTGGGCTGGCAGCAAGGCAGCAAGACCAAAGACATCCCTGGATCCAATGTCCATGAATTTCGCCAGAAATTCTGCATGGCAGTGCAGTTCTACTAGAAATTCAGATTTGCATAGATTTGCCACATTTTGCAACATTTTGGACATATTTCTGTCATTTTCTGTCTGTACATTTTGCACAAAGTGTCTGTAGGTTCTTGCACCTTGTCACGGTGGCGAGAGACAACGTTGGCATGGTGCCAATCGCTTTGACAAGGGTGAGCAGCAAAGCTGCACTATGAGATGCACCACAAATCCACGAAGGGATTATATAAAGTTTTCACTCGCGATGAAAAAGCGCATGTAACTCAAAATGATTTCAATACCAATAGAAAGTGAAAGGTACGTTTCCGGGGGATTATATTAATATACGTATAAATTAATATATGATTATATGATATTAAGATTATTAAGTGAATTATATTATATAGCTTCAAAACCTTTTCTCTTGGCAATTTGCCAAGAAGCCGCAGCGTGCCAAGACCACTGTGACAACAAGAGCCTGAGCATAGCAGCACTTGGTAAGATGTAGCATCGAAGCGGCTGCGGCTTCCCCTGGGCCCGGTATCCTTGGAATGCTTTTTTGTCAATCTCACCAGTATGGTCTGATCCAATCTTTCATCTCTGTGCTCACTTCCCCTTACAGCCTTACAGCGGACAGCGCTTCCAACTGAAATCTTTCAATCCCAGTCATAGCCTAGTCATATCGCGGCAGCAATCAATTGAAAAGGCATCAAACCGAAATCAGTTGATCTGGAAGAAAATTGCGGGTCAAGCAGTCAAGCAGCACGATGTCATGCAGAAAGTGCAGTCAAATCCGCTCGCTCCGATGACCAAGCACACAGTTTTAACATATTTAGATTTCTGAGTCTTTGTTTCATCTCCCATTGCACTCTTAGTCATTTATTTTAATCTCTCACTCTGGAAGATCCTGTCCCACCCCTTTCTCACCAAATCGCAGGCTGTGGACAAGATACCAGAAATACAGACACATGTGCCATGATTACGAAAACCGAAGACTCGATTGCTTAAAGATTGCAGGGATATCATAAGATGATGACATCGGAATCACTCTGAAATTTTTGTGACGGTTACAAACTGCATTCTGAGGTGCTGTAGCGGACTTCGTGCTTGGAACACAGACCAATGCGTGACCGGGGTGCTGCTGGCCTGACTTTGCAGAATTTTTCAGGCAACCGTGCGCGGAGTTCCGGCTCAGAAAGTGCTGCTGCTGATGTGCTCTCTTCAAACAGAAGTGGGTAAATTTGTTGACCAAAGTCACTAGTTCTGCTATAGTGTTTGATCAATTCAGAAGTGAACCCAGGGTGATTTATTGAATTTCTTGTTCCCTCAGGGGCAACCATTTCCGTGCCACATTGATGACCGCTTCTCCGGCCAGGTTCTTGATGGAAAGGTTTCGACCTTTGTTTGTGATGTATCTGGCCAAAATGCTCATCAGGTGGGATCATTGCGCGGATGGAACCAAATCCGATGTGAAGTTACATGAGGTTGGTTGTTGTGATTCTTTTCTTGTTTCTAGATTATCATTTTCACAATAATCATTCCATGTTTTATGTTCTAAGTGGACATATAAGAGATGTTGCCTTTTGTAGTTTTGTTTTCATGCGTGGTTCATTTTGCTTTTGCTTCGCTTGGTGCACTTGCTATGATCCGCATGCAGTTCTCTGGTCTCAGGCATGGCAGTTGGATTCTGGACAGCTGAAACAACGCAGTGGAGGCCTTTGCACAACTAAACTCACCAAATCGAAAAAACGCGAGAGGGGGAGAGATGTGAACCTCATGTAACCACAGAAGGAATGTCCATGGGACAAATTCGAGGTTGACTTTTGTGAGCTGCAACCATGCATGATGCAGATGATGCGCAATGTTGGCTTGAAATCCTCCGGTCTGACAGCCGGGCGATAGGCTTCATGCAGAGTGACTGCGTGACTCCTGCAGATGGCAGCCTCAAGGTGCAGATGTTGCGCAGCTTATGTAAACCGTCCCAATGTGAGCAGTGACAATAGCAGTGACATTCTGACACCAAAGCCCAGTTGTTGGTTTGCCACAGACATTGTCATTTTCCGGAAGCCAACACTTGAAGTCTTGGGGAACTCTAGCTTGTATATTAATGAATTGTCAGCGTGTGCTTTGCGCTTGCAATGCTGTTTCCGGACAGCCAAGGCCGGATCTGGTAATTTTTCCCTGGGACTGCGCAGCATGATACATGCACCAGCGAGTTGGGTCAATCGATGACGCATCCAGGTGCGGCGGTGTAGTGGGGCTTCATGGCTTCAGGACCTCCCTGTGACTTTGCTTCACAGCTGCTCGCAGTGATTGTTGCGCCCTGGGCGAGTCCCAAACTCTCAGATTTTAGCCCTGTGCATCAAGTGTCCTAGGACGACGTGCTTGAGCCGATAGAGTCCAATCTGTACAAGAAGGCCAGATGTGATTGGGGCATTTGCGTTGAGAAATATTGAGATGTGAACTGCAAAGAACAAATATCATTGTTGCCTACAACCATTGGTCTCATTTGTCCTTTTCACGTCCTTAAATTGAGTCACATTCAAGACAGGTTTCAGGTCGTCTCAGTGTGACCCAATCCCACTGAGGCTCTGGCTGAACTTCAGCTATGATAAAAAAGCGGCTGTTGCTGATTCCTGAACCAAGGAACATCCAAGAATTTATCTTGAGTGTGATTGCCCTCCCGTAGTCGGATTTTCCTTTATTGCCTTTTTTTGAAGCGAAGTTACATGAAGTTACATGGTTTGCTGTTGCAAACATGCAGTATGATTTCTGAGACTGTATTATACAGTATTCATTTAAAAGCAAATAACAATTGCATTTTCTGTTGAACAGAAATTGAATCAATCTGAGCATCTTCTTGGACCTTTGCGCAATTTGGGCTCACAAACGATTCCAGCAGAGCTACGCTGCGACATGTTCCATAAAAAGGGGGAGCCTTGACGTCATTGATGATGTTTCCTGATGACCATCTCAGGCCTTCAATTTCAAAGTTGAGCGGCTGAATTGTAGTTTCTGTAATTTTCTGAATCACCTAAGACTCTGATGACATCACCATTCGGATATATTCGGATATATTCGGAATATTCGGAATATTCGGTTTGGTTTCCAACATTCCAGTGATTCCAGTGCTTCGAGGCCATTTGGTCACCAAGGCTGATATCGGCTGTTTGAATGTAGCCATATCCCAAGGCAATAAGCATGGTTTCGCTGTAAATGGTATTGCTTCAACTCGGCGCTGCGATAGGGTGGTCGAAAACTGCACCATGCCATCGGCGCGATGAAGTCATCTTGCTGGTGGGAGTTTTGCTGGTGGGCCAAGCACTGTAGACACAGCAAAACCGGAAGCTTTTTGGGACGGTGTTGGAAAGAGTTGAGCAAGTGACAAATCGATTGCACCATGAGGATTAGAAGGATAAATATGACAACAAGGCTTGATCATGTAAAAGAATGATTTGAAATGCAGGTTTTTTGACATTGCACGGTTTCACGATCTCTCTTTCGAATTGACACGTTAGCTTGTTTGAAAGTAGACTGTGAGGTGCGGCTGGGGGCTGTTCACCAATTGTGGAGGGCTGAGCTTTTCAACAAGCTGTTGATGGTTTGCACAAATGGACACCGCATGCCGCATGCTGAGAATCTTTAGATGATGTACCGCTTTAGATCTCGGAGAATTTCGATTATGATGCAAATTACATGTGGAGCCCACGAGAAACCAAAATTGGACTCTTTGGTGACCCAAAGGACCCCTGACCTGTGCAAAAGTAATTCACTTACCTTGATATCAATGTTAGGGCCTAACTGTTAGGGTCCCGCTCTACATCTTGACTTTTCCCTTCTTTTTCCAACCTTTCGCCAAAAACAACCTGCATGGTATGCGCAAGTTGTGACTGGATCGCTATTTGTGCTGAGAGGCCTGAATCGCCCTTGATTCGCATCCCATTGACTCGTCGTTTGTTTAGTCCTTTGTTTGATCCGATGTGCCGGATGTCCCGCTGTACGCTCCTTGTTTTGTGCCACTTGGCCCACCTGGCCCACATGGCTGCCATGCGGGAATCGTATGTGGTGTTGGACGACACCATGGTGTGCGAGTGCAAAGAGGTGAAATCCGTGACGGATTGCCCGGACTACAAGATCAAGAAAGACGGCTTCCCGCCCGGCTTCCCTCGTTACTATCATGAGAAGGCGGGACATCTTACAAGCTCTGACAGACTCTGACAATCTACAAACTTAAAATTTCGGCAGCGAACTTCAACATTTCCATGGCATTGGGTGCCCGAGAAGTTTTGGGCTACCAGGCTACCATTCATGTTAACCCATCGTTGACATTGAGGATCCTATAGTATCGAAGAGTCTGCGTTTGGGAGAGCCATGGCTGACTTTGATAATCTCCAAATGAGCCCCAAAAATCCAAGGTGATCCTGTGAAGGTGTGTGGGCTCGTAGCATGCCTAGGCGAAAGCTAAAACCACAGTCACCAAAGGTTTCCCATGTCACCAGCCTGCTTGGAGAGGTTCAATCCGAGACGAAGTGGGCCACTTGGCTGGTTGAAATTCATGAGTAATTTTTCAGTTGCTTAAAATTGGAAACTGGTTGGCTTTGAACATATTTGGTAATCCTCAACCTGCTTCCGGTAGGTTTCAAATACTGCATTCTGGGTGGCGCATTCTCAATTTTCAACCATTAAAATGGGATGATGATTCCAAGTGGTTGCAGTTTACAGTTGAAATCACCGAATAGATGGATCAAGAAACTGTTTGAGGGGAGGATTGCCTCCTTTCACAAGGCCCTGCCCAGGTAAACTTGTGCTGCCGTATGGCTCCAAAGAAGAAAAAAGGCTCCTGGAGCTTCAAACCTTGGAAAAGCTCTTATGTTGCCCAGAACAAGGACTCGCATGTTGCCATGATATTTTTTCATGACTGCAAGAGGTGCATCCGCGCCCCCAAAAAGGAGATGACCATTCGGTTGCTTAGTCGACCTATGTCGACCTATGGAATCGCCAATTCATCACAGCGACTAGATGGCTTTGAAATGGTTTGAATTTGGTAATTTGGCCATGGGATCATGAGATCATGAGATCATGAGATCATGAGCGTCCGTAAATTTCTTCCATCATTTTACCATCATTTTCGTTTCATTTTCTCTGAAAGATGGCACCGCAGGAGCGATGCTTGGAAGAAACACGACCGCTGCAGACACGCGGTTGTTGCAGCCTGGTGGGCTCCACCGAGCGCCCCGGTGAAGACTGGTATGACTGCGATAATCCATGGTAAAGCCATGGTAAATATCCATGGTAAATCTATGGTAAATCCACGAAATCCATGGTGAATACGAGAATCACTTAGCTACTTAGCTACTCTTAGCGCTACTCTTAGCGCTACTCTTAGCTGCTTAGCCGAATATTCTGCTGGATTCTGATCATTTCTGAATGTGCTGAATGTGATCCGCACTGAGGGTCTACGGGGGCGCGTTCCAACTTTTCCTGAGATCTGCAAAAGTCTATAGCATGGCCCACCCGAAGATGTTACCAAGCGGAAACCCGACCTGGAAGGCTCGATCAGTGATGAATGCATCGCCCACCACGGTGGCACACGAGCAAACCAAAACTACTTAAAAACATCAACAAAAGCCATGCATAACCCCACCATAGCCATAAGATGCCATAAATTGCCATAAGTAAAAGAAATCAAAGATATCAAAGGGAAAAATGGAATTTCTGTGGCTCCCATGATCAGCACATCCCAACAGCCCTGTGCCATCCTGTGCCTGCGCACGGCGCACGGCGCACGGCGCATTTTGGAGGACTACGAGAAAAAGTCCAAGGTCTTCATGGAGCCCGAGGGCATTTTGGGCGCCAAAATTAATGGTGGGAAAAAAATTCTGCCCAAGGAACTCCTGCCAGAGATGGAAGGCATCAAGAAGCTCATGAAAAAAGACGGAGATCTCCAGTGTGAAGAGGATTTGGCACAAGTTGCTTGTTCACTACCTTTTCGCCGTTGCAAGGTGTTTCAACAGTTTCAACCTCTGTTTTTATTCTGAGATATTCTGAGGGTTCGCGCTTTTAGCCATGCCTCAAGCACAAAAGGTACAGTCTTTACAGGCGCATCACGGCACAGCACGCTTTCCGAAGTCTTGACACACGGTTTCTAATCAAAGAATGTGTTCTGTCATCATAATCCATGCCACTGCGGCCACTCGTTCGATGACTAAGAGTCATCATAAAAATCATTCGCAATCATAGGTATCTTTGAGAGTGAGCAGCTGCAAATTGCCAATGGTCAAGAACGCAAATGCATGTAATTTTCTGCCCCAGTGCCAGTATCATCAAAACATAGTGTCACAGCATGTAGCACTTCAGCATGAGAAAAGCATAGAAACACTTGTTTGAGATGCCACCTAAAACGCAACGTTCAACTACGGCAATGCCTTTCCAACAGCACAAAACGCCGAAAGCAGTAGTTCTAGCATGTTGTAAAGGGAGTTCGGAAGCGCGACAAGGCAACAATCTGAAGAACGCATGGCACTGCAACGTGTTTTTTTGCTTTTTCAGAATGCACAGCAGACCTTCCTTTTTCCTGTGGCACAGCGACATGCATTGCATTTTTTTGGAGAAACATGCGAAGATAACACATTTCAGACGAAGCCAGAGGCGACGAATTGAATTGCTCAGTACACTCCGTATTCCTACCTTGTCAGGAAAGCAGGTTTTAGTTGAAAAAATGTGTATGAAAAAACAGTGATGAAAACATATCACCTGTTTTGTTTGCTGTCAAAACTTGGCAGTTCATCTGCTGGGCATCACCACGACCTGTCATTGGTCTGAGGCTATCGCAGGGGGTAGTGGCTACTGCCAAGTCCGTATGAAGGAACCGCTCTGCTGCTTGGGCTGGCTCCGATTGAAGAGACAGTTTTCCAACGGAAATAGATTGATATTTGATGATATTTGACTGGGACGGATTGAAAACAAGATGCAGCCCAGCAACCCGAATGCTCACGCGTATGTTAATGGTACAGATGTCGAAACACATGGATATGCAGTCACGCAGAACACTTTTCTGCAATAGTTTACTTGAACAGTCTTGTACATATTTCCCCTGCTACCAGTCTGCAGTGTGGAGTGGAAGTGTAGAGTGTGGAGTGTGGAGTGAGGAGTGTGATGTGTGTAGAGTGTAGGAGTGGAGTGTAAAGTAAGGAGTGCGGAGTGTAAAAAAGTGGAGTGGGGAGTGTAGAGTGTGTAAAGTGTAGAGTGTGGTGTGTGGAGTGTGCAGTGGGCTAAAGTGTGGAGTGTGGAGTCTAGAGTGTGGAGTGGAAAATGTAAAGTGTAGAGTGTGGAGTGTGGAGTGTAACGTGTAGAGTGTGGAGTGTGGAGTGTAGAGTGTGGAGTGAGGAGTGTAAAGTGAAGAGTGTGGAGTGTGGAGTGTAAAGTGTAGAGTGTGGAGTGTGGAGTGGAAAGTGTAGAGTGTGGAGTGTGGAGTGTAAAGTGAGGAGTGTGGAGTGTAAAGTGTGGAGTGAGGAGTGTGTAAAGTGTAGAGTGTGGAGTGTAGAGTGTGGAGTGCAGAGTGTAAAGTGTAGAGTGTAAAGTGTAGAGTGTGGAGTGGGGAGTGGGGAGTGTAAAGTGTAGTGTGTCGAGTGTGGAGAGTGGAGTGTGGAGTGTGGAGTGTAAAGTGTGGAGTGAGGAGTGTAAAGTGTAAAGTGTGGAGTGTAAAATGTGATGTGTGGAGTGGGGAGTGTAGAGTGTATAAAGTGTAGAGTGTGGAGTGTGGAGTGTAGAGTGTAGAGTGTAGAGTGTAGAGTTTGAAGTGTAGAGTGTAAAGTGTAGAGTGTGGAGTGTGGAGTGTAAAGTGTGGAGTGTAAAGTGTGGAGTGTGGAGTGTAAAGTGTGGAGTGAGGAGTGTAAAGTGCTAAGTGTAAAGTGTGGAGTGTAAAGTGCAGAGTGTGGAGTGAGGAGTGTAAAGTGTAAAGTGTGGAGTGTGGAGTGTAAAGTGTAGAGTGTAGAGTGTGGAGTGTGGAGTGGAAAGTGTAGAGTGTGGAGTGTGGAGTGTAAAGTGTAGAGTGTGGAGTGTGGAGTGTGGAGTGTAGAGTGTGGAGTGTGGAGTGTAAAGTGTAAAGTGTGGAGTGTGGAGTGTGGAGTGTAAAGTGCAAATTGTGGAATTGTGGAGTGTGGAGTGTAAAGTGTAGTGTGGAGGGTGGATCTTCCCCCATAGACACGGCGACGCCACAGGAAAACCAGAGCCTCGAGACGAGACACGTGGGCGCAGAAAAACGAGCATTTCGTTCGAGAATTCCTGCAATTTTGACATTTTCGACACCTTAGCAATCAGGTTGGAATGTCACAGAGTGCCACGCCTGCCATGCAAAACGACATGACAACCTGCATAGACACGGCGAGGCCACAGGAAAACCAGAGACTCGACGCAGCAAAACGAGCATTTCGTGCGAGACTTCCGCTAAGTTTGACACTTTCGACACGTTATCAAACAGGTTGGAATGTCACAAAGTGCCACGCCTGCCAGGCAAAACAGCATGAATAACTGCTTGGAAACCTTCGAAACGGAGATGTTTTGCAGCTTCCCCCATAGACGCGGCGAGGCCACAGGAAAACCAGAGACTCGAGACGAGACATGTGGGAGCAGCAAAACGAGCACTTCGTGCGAGACTTCCTCCAATTTTGACACTTTGTAGCCTCAAAATCGACGTTTTCCTACGAGTTTTTTCTTCGGAACCTCGAAATTTGCAACCTCAAAATCGATGTTTCGTGCGAGGCTTCCGTCAATTTTCAGCACATCGCACAAAACGCCACGCCTGCCACGGAATTTGCACCTTGTCGCCACTTGACGCAGCCCTGCCAATGCGATTTACAAAAAACACGCAACACGACACGTCTAAAGTGCTGCGCCTGCCACGCAAAACGACGATGGACACGTCGAAAGTGCTGCGCCTGCCACGAAAACTGCAACGCATCTTCGGAAAACGTCGCAAAAGTATTGCACCTGCCACACAAAACGACCTTTGACGTCTGAATGTCACGAAGTGCTACGCCTGCCACGCGAAACGAAGCAACGCGACGTTTGAAACCTTGAAGAGGCACCCCTTCTGCGGAACTTACCATAGGCCATATAGCAATCGCGCGGACGGTTGTGGACGGTTGCGAACGGTTGCGGACGTAAATGCAACGTCGAGCGAATACACCCTCAACCCCGTGAAACGGGAATCCTTGCTGCGCATTCGGGAAAAAACTCGTGTTCCATTGTTTATCGTTGCACATGATTGGAATTGCATTGCCAATCCAGGATTGAGAAGGATCAAATATCCCAGTCCCCTCTTTTATTGGGTGATTTCGAGCGTTGGATCTGAAATACATCCGTAACGGATCCGAAGGTTGCTGCGCAGCGGAAGACTTGGACGATGAATCGGATGAAATGCAATGTCTGGAGATGGCCTGTGCGCCCAAAGGAAGTCGAGTGCACCTCGTTGCTGAAGGTGAAACATGGGTGAAACATCACATGGTGAAACATCACATGGTGAAACATCACATGGTGAAACATGGAAGCATCATGAATCTGTGGCCTCAATATTAAGGGAAAAACATTGGAAAACACCACACTTTTCTGATTGATCATTGATCAATCATTGATCATCATTTTCCCCATGATTTTCAAAGAAACCGATTTTCAGGGTCTGGGCATTTTTCGGCCACCTTTCTGCCAGGCTTGAAGGATCAAATGGACGGCCCTATCATAGTGGGGTGGAAGACCATCTGGCCTGACCCTTATGAAACGTGCCCCCAACGGCACAAGAACTTCGTGAAAGTCCCAGTGAGTCCAGTCCAGGGACGTGAAGGTGTCCTGAAGTCCTGCGACCGCAAGGTGACGAGATCTCTCGGATCGGTTTTTCACAGGGTCAGAAAAACCATGGAACTTTGCGTTGAGGCTGACTTTGAATTGCCGTGCCCTGCTGGAAAGGTGATGTATAGGATGATCAAAGGTTCGCATATTGCTGGCAATGAGTTTTCCTGTCCTGCGGGACTCAAGAGCAACTTACCAGGTGATCCTGAGAACGATTCCAGGTGCAAATGCGACTGAGGGCTGCTCTTAGCCTTAAGCAGACCGCTTGCTCCAAGACTGCGCAGCAATCATCGTGAAAATATGGCAATCTTTCCGTTGCAAAGGATCCTGAAGTTGAAACTGCCACCTGCCACATGTTTCATGTGAGAGATAGGAATTACCAAAGTCACTTGTTCTGCTATAGTGTTTAATCAATTCAGAAGTGAACCCAGGGTGATTTATTGAATTTCTTGTTCCCTCAGGGGCAACCATTTCCGTGCCACATTGATGACCGCTTCTCCGGCCAGGTTCTTGATGGAAAGGTTTCGACCTTTGTTTGTGATGTGTCTGGCTAAAATGCTCATCAGGTAGGATCATTGCGAACCAAATCCGATTGTTTCTAAATTCTCATTTTCACAATAGTCATTCCATGTTCTATGTTCTAAGTGGACATATAAGAGATGTTGCCTTTTGTAGTTTTGTTTTCATGCGTCGTTCATTTTGCTTTTGCTTCGCTTCTTGCACTTGCTATGATCCGCATGCAGTTCTCTGGTCTCAGGCATGGCAGTTGGATTCTGGACAGCTGAAACAACGCAGTGGAGGCCTTTGCACAACTAAACTCACCAAATCGAGAGATGTGAATCTCATGCAACCACAGAAGGAATGTCCATGGGACAAATTCGAGGTTGACTTTTGTGAGCTGCAACCATGCATGATGCAGATGCGCAATGTTGGCTTGAAATCCTCCGGTCTGACAGCCGGGCGATAGGCTTCATGCAGAGTGACTGCGTGACTCCTGCAGATGGCAGCCTCGAGGTGCAGATGTTGCGCAGCTTTTGTAAAACGTCCCAATGTGAGCAGTGACAATAGCAGTGACATTCTGACACCGAAGCCCAGTTGTTGATTTGCCACAGACATTGTCATTTTCCGGAAGCCAACACTTGAAGTCTTGGGGAACTCTAGCTTGTATATTAATGAATTGTCAGCGTGTGCTTTGCGCTTGCAATGCTGTTTCCGGACAGCCAAGGCCGGATCTGGTAATTTTTCCCTGGGACTGCGCAGCATGATACATGCACCAGCGAGTTGGGTCAATCGATGACGCATCCAGGTGCGGCGGTGTAGTGGGGCTTCATGGCTTCAGGACCTCCCTGTGACTTTGCTTCACAGCTGCTCGCAGTGATTGGGACGCGCCCTGGGCGAGTCCCAAACTCTCAGATTTTAGCCCTGTGCATCAAGTGTCCTAGGACGACGTGCTTGAGCCGATAGAGTCCAATCTGTACAAGAAGGCCAGATGTGATTGGGGCATTTGCATTGAGAAATATTGAGATGTGAACTGCAAAGAACAAATATCATCGTTGCCTACAACCATTGGTCTCATTTGTCCTTTTCACGTCCTTAAATTGAGTCACATTCAAGACAGGTTTCAGGTCGTCTCAGTGTGACCCAATCCCACTGAGGCTCTGGCTGAACTTCAGCTATGATAAAAAAGCGGCTGTTGCTGATTCCTGAACCAAGGAACATCCAAGAATTTATCTTGAGTGTGATTGCCCTCCCGTAGTCGGATTTTCCTTTATTGCCTTTTTTTGAAGCGAAGTTACATGAAGTTACATGGTTTGCTGTTGCAAACATGCAGTATGATTTCTGAAACTGTATTATACAGTATTCATTTAAAAACAAATAACAATTGCATTTTCTGTTGAACAGAAATTGAATCAATCTGAGCATATTCTTGGACCTTTGCGCAATTTGGGCTCACAAACGATTCCAGCAGAGCTACGCTGCGACATGTTCCATAAAAAGGGGGAGCCTTGACGTCAGGCCGATTATGTTTCCTGATGACATCTGATGACCATCTCAGGCCTTAAATTTCAAAGTTGAGCGGCTGAATTGTAGTTTCTGTAATTTTCTTGAATCACCTAAGACTCTGATGACATCACCACGGTTTGGTTTCCGACATTCCAGTGATTCCAGTGCTTCGAGGCCATTTGGTCACCAAGGATATCGGCTGTTTGAATGTGTAGCCATATCCCAAGGCAATAAGCATGGTTTCGTCGAAAACTGCACCATGCCATCGGCGCAATGAAGTCATCTTGCTGGTGGGAGTTTTGCTGGTGGGCCAAGCACTGTAGACACAGCAAAACCGGAAGCTTTTTGGGACGGTGTTGGAAAGAGTTGAGCAAGTGACAAATCGATTGCACCATGAGGATTAGAAGGATAAATATGACAACAAGGCTTGATCATGTCTAAGAATGATTTGAAATGCAGGCTTTTTGACATTGCACGGTTTCACGATCTCTCTTTCGATTTGACACGTTAGCTTGTTTGAAAGTAGACTGTGAGGTGCGGCTGGGGGCTGTTCACCAATTGTGGAGGGCTGAGCTTTTCAACAAGCTGTTGATGGTTTGCAGAAGTGGACACCGCATGCCGCATGCTGAGAATCTTTAGATGATGTACCGCTTTAGATCTCGGAGAATTTCGATTATGATGCAAATTACATGTGTACCCCACGAGAAACACTTTGGACTCTTTGGTGACCCAAAGGACCCCTGACCTGTGCAAAAGTAATTCACTTACCTTGATATCAATGTTAGGGCCTAACTGTTAGGGTCCCGCTCTACATCTTGACTTTTCCCTTCTTTTTCCAACCTTTCGCCAAAAACAACCTGCATGGTATGCGCAAGTTGTGACTGGATCGCTATTTGTGCTGAGAGGCCTGAATCGCCCTTGATTCGCATCCCATTGACTCGTCGTTTGTTTAGTCCTTTGTTTGATCCGATGTGCCGGATGTCCCGCTGTACGCTCCTTGTTTTGTGCCACTTGGCCCACCTGGCCCACGTGGCTGCCATGCGGGAATTGTATGATGTGGTTACCATGGACGACACCATGGTGTGCGAGTGCAAAGAGGTGAACTCCGTGACGGATTGCCCGGACTACAAGATCAAGAAAGACGGCTTCCCGCCCGGCTTCCCTCGTTACTATCATGAGAAGGCGGGACATCTTACAAGCTCTGACAGACTCTGACAATCTACAAACTTAAAATTTCGGCAGCGAACTTCAACATTTCCATGGCATTGGGTGCCCGAGAAGTTTTGGGCTACCAGGCTACCATTCATGTTAACCCATCGTTGACATTGAGGATCCTAGTATCGAAGAGTCTGCGTTTGGGAGAGCCATGGCTGACTTTGATAATCTCCAAATGAGCCCCAAAAATCCAAGGTGATCCTGTGAAGGTGTGTGGGCTCGTAGCATGCCTAGGCGAAAGCTAAAACCACAGTCACCAAAGGTTTCCCATGTCACCAGCCTGCTTGGAGAGGTTCAATCCGAGACGGAGTGGGCCACTTGGCTGGTTGAAATTCATGAGTAATTCTTCAGTTGCTTAAAATTGGAAACTGGTTGGCTTTGAACATATTTGGTAATCCTCAACCTGCTTCCGGTAGGTTTCAAATACTGCATTCTGGGTGGCGCATTCTCAATTTTCAATCATTAAAATGGGATGATGATTCCAAGTGGTTGCAGTTTACAGTTGAAATCACCAAATAGATGGATCAAGAAACTGTTTGAGGGGAGGATTGCCTCCTTTCACAAGGCCCTGCCCAGGTAAACTTGTGCTGCCGTATGGCTCCAAAGAAGAAAAAAGACTCCTGGAGCTTCAAACCTTGGAAAAGCTCTTATGTTGCCCAGAACAACAAGGACTCGCATGTTGCCATGATATTTTTTCATGACTGCAAGAGGTGCATCCGCGCCCCCAAAAAGGAGATGACCATTCAGTCGACCTATGTCGACCTATGGAATCGCCAATTCATCACAGCGCCTAGATGGCTTTGAAATGGTTTGAATTTGGTAATTTGGCCATGAGATCATGAGATCATGAGATCATGAGATCATGAGCGTCCCTAAATTTCTTCCATCGTTTTACATCATTTTCGTTTCATTTTCTCTGAAAGATGGCACCAAAGGAGCGATGCTTGGAAGAAACACGACCGCTGCAGACACGCGGTTGTTGCAGCCTGGTGGGCTCCACCGAGCGCCCCGGTGAAGGCTGGTATGACTGCGATAATCCATGGTAAAGCCATGGTAAATATCCATGGTAAATCTATGGTAAATCCACGAAATCCATGGTGAATACGAGAATCACTTAGCTACTTAGCTACTCTTAGCGCTACTCTTAGCTGCTTAGCCGAATATTCTGCTGGATTCTGATCATTTCTGAATGTGCTGAATGTGATCCGCACTGAGGGTCTACGGGGGCGCGTTCCAACTTTTCCTGAGATCTGCAAAAGTCTATAGCATGGCCCACCCGAAGATGTTACCAAGCGGAAACCCGACCTGGAAGGCTCGATCAGTGATCAGTGAATGCATCGCCCACCACGGTGGCACACGAGCAAACCAAAACTACTTAAAAACATCAACAAAAGCCATGCATAACCCCACCATAGCCATAAGATGCCATAAATTGCCATAAGTACAAACAATCAAAGATATCAAAGGGAAAAATGGAATTTCTGTGGCTCCCATGATCAGCACATCCCAACAGCCCTGTGCCATCCTGTGCCTGCGCACGGCGCACGGCGCACGGCGCATTTTGGAGGACTACGAGAAAAAGTCCAAGGTCTTCATGGAGCCCGAGGGCATTTATTTCGCCAAAATTGCTGGTGGGAAAACCATTCTGCCCAAGGAACTCCTGCCAGAGATGGAAGGCATCAAGAAGCTCATGAAAAAAGACGGAGATCTCCAGTGTGAAGAGGATTTGGCACAAGTTGCTTGTTCACTACCTTTTCGCCGTTGCAAGGTGTTTCAACAGTTTCAACCTCTGTTTTTATTCTGAGATATTCTGAGGGTTCGCGCTTTTAGCCATGCCTCAAGCACAAAAGGTACAGTCTTTACAGGCGCATCACGGCACAGCACGCTTTCCGAAGTCTTGACACACGGTTTCTAATCAAAGAATGTGTTCTGTCATCATGATCCATGCCACTGCGGCCACCCGTTCGATGACTAAGAGTCATCATAGGAATCATTCGCAATCATAGGTATCTTTGAGAGTGAGCAGCTGCAAATTGCCAATGGTCAAGAACGCAAATGCATGTAATTTTCCGCCCCAGTGCCAGTATCATCAAAACATAATGTCACAGCATGCCGCACTTCAGCATGAGAAAAGCATACAAAACCTTGTTACGCAACGTTCAACTACGGCAATGCTTTTCCAACAGCACAAAACGCCGAAAGCAGTAGTTCTAGCATGTTGTAAAGGGAATTCGGAAGCGCGACAAGGCAACAACCTGAAGAACGCATGGCACTGCAACGTGTTTTTTTTGCTTTTTCAGAATGCACAACAGACCTTCCATTTTCCTGTGGCACAGCGACATGCATTGCATTTTTTTGGAGAAACATGCGAAGATAACACGTTTCAGACGAAGCCAGAGGCGACGAATTGAATTGCTCAGTACACTCCGTATTCCTACCTTGTCAGGAAAGCAGGTTTTAGTTGAAAAAATGTGTATGAAAAAACAGTGATGAAAACATATCACCTGTTTTGTTTGCTGTCAAAAATTGGCAATTCATCTGCTGGGCATCACCACGACCTGTCATTGGTCTGAGGCTATCTCAGGGGGTAGTGGCTACTGCCGAGTCCATATGAAGGAACCGCTCTGCTGCTTGGGCTGGCTCCGATTGAAGAGACAGTTTTCCAACGGAAATAGATTGATATTTGATGATATTTGACTGGGACGGATTGAAAACACGATGCAGCCCACGAACCCGAATGCTCACGCGTATGTTAATGGTACAGACATCGAAACACATGGATATGCAGTCACGCAGAACACTTTTCTGCAATAGTTTATTTGAACAGTCTTGTACATATTTCCCCTGTTACCAGTCTGCAGTGTGGAGTGGAAAGTGTAGAGTGTGGAGTGTGGAGTGAGGAGTGTGATGTGTGTAGAGTGTAGGTGTGGAGTGTAAAGTAAGGAGTGTGGAGTGTAAAAAAGTGGAGTGGGGAGTGTAGAGTGTGTAAAGTGTAGGGTGTGGTGTGTGGAGTGTGGAGTGTGCAGTGGATAAAGTGTGGAGTGTGGAGTCTAGGGTGTGGAGTGGAAAGTGTAAAGTGTAGAGTGTAAAGTGTAGAGTGTGGAGTGTGGAGTGTAAAGTGTAGAGTGTGGAGTGTGGAGTGTGGAGTGTAGAGTGTGGAGTGTGGAGTGAGGAGTGTAAAGTGCAAAGTGTGGAGTGTGGAGTGGAAAGTGTAGAGTGTGGAGTGCGGAGTGTGGAGTGTAAAGTGAGGAGTGTGGAGTGTAAAATGTGGAGTGTAAAGTGTGGAGTGAGGAGTGTGGAGTTTGTAAAGTGTAGGGTGTGGATTGTAGAGTGTGGAGTGTGGAGTGCAGAGTGTAAAGTGTGGAGTGTAAAGTGTAGAGTGTGGAGTGCGGAGTGTGGAGTGTAAAGTGTAGAGTGTGGAGTGTGGAGTGGAAAGTGTAGAGTGTGGAGTGTGGAGTGTGGAGTGCTGAGTGTAAAGTGAGGAGTGTGGAGTGTAAAGTGTGGAGTGAGGAGTGTGTAAAGTGTAGAGTGTGGAGTGTAGAGTGTAAAGTGTAAAGTGTGGAGTGTGGAGTGTAAAGTGTAAATTGTGGCATTGTGGAGTGTGGAGTGTAAAGTGTAGTGTGGAGGGTGGATCTTCCCTCATAGAGACGGCGACGCCACAGGAAAACAGAGCCTCGAGACGAGACACGTGGGCGCAGGAAAACGAGCATTTCGTGCGAGAATTCCACTAATTTTGACATTTTCGACACGTTAGCAAACAGGTTGGAATGTCACAGAGTGCCATGCCTGCCACGCAAAACGACATGACAACCTGCTTGGAAACCTTCGAGAAGGATATGTTTTGCAGCTTTCCCCATAGACACGGCGAGGCCACAGGAAAACCAGAGACTCGAGACGAGACACGTGGGCGCAGCAAAACGAGCATTTCGTGCGAGACTTCCGCTAAGTTTGACACTTTCGACACGTTATCAAACAGGTTGGAATGTCACAAAGTGCCACGCCTGCCACGCAAAGCAACATGACAAACTGCTTGGAAACCCGCAGGAAAACCAGAGACTCGAGACGAGACACGTGGGAGCAGCAAAACGAGCATTTCGTGCGAGACTTCCTCCAATTTTGACACTTTGCACGCCTGCCACGGAATCCGCACCTTGTCGCCAACGCATCCCTGCCAATGCGATTCGCAAAAACACGCAACTCGACACGTCTAAAGTGCTGCGCCTGCGACGCAAAATGACGATGGACACGTCGAAAGTGTTTTGCTGCCACGAAAACTGCAACGCATCTTCCGAAAACGTCGCAAAAGTATTGCACCTGCCACACAAAACGACTTTCGACGTCTGAATGTCACGAAGTGCTACGCCTGCCACGCGAACGAAGCAACGCGCGCGACGTTTGAAACCTCGAAAAACCACCCTCTGCAGAACTTACCATAGGCACGGCCATATAGCAATCAAGCGGACGGTTGCGGACGGTTACGAACGGTTGCGGACGTAAACGGAACGTCGAGCGAACACTCCCTCAACCCCCAGACCCCCAGAGTGAAACGGGAACCCTTGCTACGCATTCGGGAAAAAACTCATGTTCCATTGTTTATCGTTGCACATGATTGGAATTGCATTGCCAATCCAGGATTGAGAAAGATAAAATATCCCAGTCCCCCTTTTATTGGGTGATTTCGAGCGTTGGATCCGAAATACATCCGTAACGGATCCGAAGGTTGCTGCGCAGCGGAAGACTTGGACATGGATGAAATGCAATGTCTGGAGATGGCCTGTGCGCCCAATGAAAGTCGAGTGCACCTCGTTGCTGACCTGAAGCCGAAACGGGGATGGGGCCTTGAGTATGACGACATAGTGGGGTGGGATACCATCTGGTTACCTGACCCTTATGAAAAATGCCCCCAACGGCACGAGAACTTCGTGAAAGTCCCAACGAGGGGGAATATTCTGTCCTGCGACCGCAACGAGACGAAATATACAGGAGGAGTGCTCTTTAAAGAACCCATCGAACTTTGCGTTGAGGCTGACTTTGAATTTGGGTGCCCTGCTGGAAAGGTGATGTATAGGAGGGTCAAAGGTTGGCATATTTTGTACAATGAGTTTTCCTGTCCTGCGGGACTCAAGAGCAACTTACCAGGTGATCCTGAGAACGATTCCAGGTGCAAATGCGACTGAGGGCTGCTCTTAGCCTTAAGCAGACCGCTTGCTCCAAGACTGCGCAGCAATCATCGTGAAAATATGGCAATCTTTCCGTTGCAAAGGATCCTGAAGTTGAAACTGCCGCCTGCCACATGTTTCATGTGAGAGATAGGAATTACCAGGGCATACAATAATATATGTACCCGCTCCCCGGTCCCGTAGCCCCCCCAATGGTATGGTCCCCTACTCCCTGACCTAGAATCTTTCATTTCCATGGCATTTACAGCATTTTGGATACAAAACTTCAAATTTCCATGGTATTTGCACCAGTTTGGAAGGAGAACCTCATATTTCCATAGTATGTACAGCATTTTGGATGCAACACCTACTTATACAGGAACTAAAGAGTATAGTTACATTACCTCTTTATTTATTCTTACTGGCGGTTAAGCGGGAATAAGGGAATACAAAAACTATGCCCCATGGCAAGTTCCAAGTGCTTGATGATGTGGTTCAATGTTTACACCAGTGTCTCTGGTTAAAAATATCCATTTGTGATGATGAGTTGGTTGGAGAATGGAATTGTACTATTTAATTATGACATGATCAAAATAAAAAAATGAAAGGCCAGTTGCCTCAGTTAAATAAGATCTAGACCAAATGTATTTAAATGTGGACTAATTAGTAATATTAATAGATCAATTGTATCAAATTATTGCCCTTAAAATTAATGGATCATGTTGCATTGCCCCATGCTGAAGAAGCATCATCAATCACATGCATTGCCCCATGCTGCAGAAGCATAACATGCATTTTCCCATGCTGAAGAAGCATCATCACATGCATTGCCCCATGCTGCAGAAGCATAACATGCATTTTCCCATGCTGAAGAAGCATCACATGCACTGAAAATTGCCCAAATCAGATGCCAGTGAAGCATCCATGCTAAAGAAACAACCATTCTTGGAAACATCCATGCTGTTTTTTTTGGAATCTTTAATGATATTTTGGCCAGGATCAAAATTCATGGCAATTCGAACAGCCAAGATCAGTGTGCTAAGGTGGCACTGACGCATCTGTTCAGAATGAGGAAGATTGCAAAAAGCGGCCAGCTAGCTGGCCACATGCCAGCTTGCTGGCAACTGAAACAACCCCAAAACGGCTAAGAGGCCAGCTAGCTGGCAAGAGTAAGACATAATATGAAACAAAATATGAAACAACAAACTGGCCAAACACCGTAAGGGTCTTTTGGCCAGTTTGTTGTCTATATTTTGCATTTAATTTATTACAAGACATTGACTGGCCAGCTCACTTGCCAAAGGCCCTTTCTTTACATGCATGGCGACGGGTGATGCCCACAGTGAGTGTCAGTGCGCTGCTTCTTGGGCTCAATTTGATTTGCGTCAATTTCAATCGGAGGTCGAAGGGAGCCCCGACCGTCGGCGAATGATCTTCCGCATGGCCTCTTCCAAGTCTATGCTTGAGAGCCACTTCTGAGTTGAGGCTGAAAAGAAGCGAAAATAGTTTGAAAAACGTCGGTCAAACAAAATCAAACCTCAGTCAGTGAACAGCAATAACATCCAAGCCGCGGAGTTGTTCCTCAAATAGTTGTACTTCGCCTTGAGAAGCTCCAGCGGCATCCTGTGCAAGAGGCGTTTTTGAACCATCATCGGGCATGGCGCTGGCTTCTCCTTGGCTCGCGTCCATTGTCCCATTTTGCTGGCTTGGATGGTTTTCGCAGTCACAGAAGGGGGCGGTGG